AAAGGGTTTCCCCTGTCCCTTTTGAAGGTGAGCTGCGCGGACGCTTAACCCACTCCGGTTTCATCTCAGAAAGAAAAGGAAACAATATTTAAACTCTGCTACACGTGTTTGCCCAACACATCCAAACGCGCGCGCAAGACCATCCGTGCAGATTCTTCGAGAGCGGAGGGAGAAAGGCTGCATAGGGGCACCTGCCTGTGTGTGTCTGTGCATACTCTTTTTTTAAAATAAATAAATAAATAAAATTAGGGGAGAGAAAGGGGGGGCTTGTTTCCGATCGGAGGCGCGCACGCACACACACGCACACACACGAACACCAGTCCCAGTAGTCCCACTCTGTCTAAAGACCCTGAATAGTGGAAGGGGGGGCGGTTTCAGATGATAGCGGTGGGGATAAAGCTTCAATTAAAAACCAGAGGTCCTAACCTCAAGATGAGGAAAGTGACTGAGCGAACCGGCTCTATGGAAAATCAGAAGTCAACCCGGGCCAGGATGCAATTCCCGCCGTGTCACACCTGCACACTTTCCGCTTCTTTCCTTTCTTTTTTTTTTAAAGACGCACATCCACCTTCTTTTCCTGAGGCGCCCTCTCCCCCTTCCCCCCCCCGTTTAAACAGCCCGAAAAAGCCGGGAGAGGTGGGGCCGGTGGGTGCCTTGAGCTCTCCGATTCTTGGCCAAAGCAACTATTTCAGCCGCCAAGAAACCTTCAAGAAAGAAGCAAAACACCAGGGAAACAAAAGACAGGGGCAGAGGCAGAGCTCCACGCCGGCCGCCAAATTAATCTGTCCACCAAATCAGCCTCCTGGAGTCGGATTCCAGGACAAAAATAACGATTGCGCCATTGTGGTGACGCTGGAAATCTGGGAAGAATTGAAAACGGTGGCGGTGAGCCTTTAACGCCTGCGCCCTTTGGCCCTTCTCTCCTTTCTCCCCCCTCGCTAAGTCCCCGCTATGTTATTGCAAAGAGACCAACATCAGACCCACGTTTTTGTGGCTGTGGGAGTTTTTCCGAAGGAAAAAACTGTCCTTAGCCCCTGCCAGAGTTGTTTTTAGAAAGGCAGACAGAGGGCACGCAGCGATAGGTGGTTGCATCAGACGTTATAGAACTTAATTAGGATATATATATACAAATACATATATTATAAACTAGGATTTAATGAAACTACACACACACACATTTGTAGTTGCATTAAATATTATAAACTAGGATATGTAGACTCACACACGTGTATGAGCATGTAGGTATCTCCGCTTTATAATATTAGGTGCTACAAATACATATACTGTATGTGTGTGTGCATATATATATTTATATATATTGTGTGTACACACACATACACACTGATGTATGTTCAGGTCCCCTGGCTTGGCTTCGCTGCTGCGTGTGCTGCAACTCTGTGCCTCCCTTTGCGAGCGTGCGCTCTGCCAACCCTTGTCACCGAGAATTACTCATTATCGTATTAGAGAGAAGTCCGGGGTCTTGACTTCATTCAACAACCTCAGAACAAATTGGATAAAAGGATTTGGAAACAGAAGAGGTCATGAGGAAGGGAAGGAATGACGGGAGAAGGAGCGGAGCAGCGTATTGTAAATATACCATTTTAGACAATGCTGGTATGGGATGAGGGGGCAGATCAAGAGGCACTGAGGAAAGAATGGACTCCGGCAGAATCAGGAAACGCCGAGAAAACGCATAAAGCACCGAAACACGGAAGGCTTCGACCACATTAAGAAGATAGGACGCACTGAGAATGTTACAGCTGATCATTCAGGGTGAAATAAACGGGAGGGAGAAAATGCAAGGAAGAGGCTGGTCTAGCATCGTTATTTCAAACGGCTTCATCCAAAGTGACATGGGGATCTCCAACACACACACACAATTGGAGAAGAACAGCAACAAGGACAAAAAAAAAACCCCAAACATACATATATGGAATATGAAGATCCAGTAACATAACGGGCCTCCATCGTTTTGCGAGAATCAATGCCATAAAAATATATATTGGGATAGTTTTCTGAAAATGACGAAGGTTGCTTTGAGCGGATCCCCTCTTTGGAGTTTATTTCAAAAAATAGACCCATTATATATATTTATATATATTTGGGGTCTATTTTCTGAAATAAACTTCAAAGAGGGGTTTAATATAGAGGCCCATTAATATATATATTAATAGTGCTAGTAGGTTTTCTTTTAAAAAGGATCAAGGGCAGTTCAGACTACTATTCTTACGCTAGAATAGATAAAGTTTGTTAAGGTTTTCCGCTATCCTCACCAATGTTCCGGGAAGGAAAACTCGATTAGCACTTGGTGATTAATAATTACCATACAGGCAATTAATTTGAAATTATTTTGGAAGACTAGACTCCCTTGAAGGAGGGAGAGGGGAAATCATCTGCTTCCTCACTCCCCACCCCACTAAAATAGACTGGAGGAAAACATGGTGCAATCCATATCCTATTGAACTCAATGGCAGAGTTGGTAGTGATCAAAAGGAAAGCACCGTGTAATTAGGTGTGTTTGTGAGTCTGTGTGTAATACTATTATAGGCATTTCTACACACACATACATTTTTCCAACCACTCAGAAGCTCAGTTTTCACCGTTAAAATCTCATATATCCAAGGAACTAACCAGTGGTTCTGAATCCGGGAAATTTATACCTAGGAAATATCCAAGTTTAATGTAAACCGAGTTTTAAGCACGCTCTGTGTTTCGAATACATCCTCCAGGGCCTACTTCTTTTTAGGACTTTGGGAGGCAGAGAGAGATGACAGAAGCCAGACAACAAATAATGAACCCATCAACTAAAAATATAAAGAGGCGATAATCTCTTTTTTTTTTCTCCCTGTAGGCAGAAATTTAAGGAAAAGGGGACTTATCAAGATTAAAAGCATAAAAGGACCAATGTTCCTTCCGGCTGAGGGGGAAAGGAGTGGGAGGGGGGGAAATGATATGAGGGCAGATTAATGTTTTCCTAGAGCATTTCTAAAATCTCAAATATTCTGGCCCTATCCAGACCTCCACAAGGGACACATAATTGTAGACATGAGAAACCTACACGAGTCTAACTTCTCTTGGACCAGACTTCTGGGGAATCCCCAAAACCTGAGGAGTTGGGGGAAAAGAAGAAAGAAAAAGGGGTTTCTCTTTTGTTACAGATCTCGTCGTTTTTCTTTCTCTTTTTTTTTTTACCTGCACTCTAGATTCCACCAAGTCCAGCCTTAACGCCAACGCCTCCCTCATAAACACGTCAGGATAGTGACTTTCGTTAAAAGCTTTCTCTAACTCTTCCAGCTGCCAGCCGGTAAAATTCGTGCGCGTCCGCCGTCTTTTACAACCTGGGCTTTCTTTATCCGGGTCCACCGAGTCTGGAAGAAGCAGAGAAGCAATCAAAAGAAGGGACGCCAAAACCCAAATCAGAATCCAAAGGTCCAGTTTATACCCCGCTGGAAAGAGAATCGCAGAGGCATCGCCTTCCGCCTAATAAACAATGGGACAAATGCACTCTTAATAAAGCCACAATGGTGGGCTTACTGTGGGTTTTTTCCCCCTTCTTCACTGGGTTTGGTCTCCCAGAGTCCTGGAGTGTAAACCTTTCCTTTTCCCCCATCAGCCCTTTCAGAAATGTCCTGCCTTGAAATCAAACCTCATTGATTTGGAGAGAACAGCTCCCCCCCCCCAAATCCGTGCCATTTAGGGTGAGCATAAGTTGCTTCTAACCCCTAAATAACTGAAAGATAACGTTTAAGATCTTTGAAGACCTAAACCCCATTTTAAAATACTGGGACAAGAGAGAGAATAAGTCTCTTAGACTTATTCTTGAAGAAAACTGCACAGCACATGAGACAATATTAGATGTCATGGATCAGTCTCCACCTGCTGTATTAATTACCATTTTTTTCCAAGGGAGGCTGGTTCTTCCCTGAGAGCCGTTATTTTTTACCCAAGGTTCAAGGGGCAAGATCTAAAGTTGTGAAACACAGGACATGTTTTGGATCAACAAAGGCCTCCAAATTAAATGCTACGGAAATACTGCAGGTTTGGAATTAAAATGGATGATCTTTTACACACTGTTAGAACATATGGAGAAAAGAGAGCCATCAGAAAACTTTCCTTTCCAGGGATGGATGGCCTGGGGATGTTTCTGATGCCCTGTTTTTTCCAAGCTGCCCCCAAACAGATATACACACATTACCTTTTATGTCCTGTCTACCTTTTTCTCTAGTCTTTTGTTACCTTTGGGCCAGCGAGACCCCCCCCCCAAAGGACTACCCCAACCTCCCAAATCTCGAGGAAGTTGGAATTGCCCAGGAATAATTTTATCTCTGAACGCACAGATAAGAGTTTTTAATTGCCTGGGTTGATCACCATCGTCAAATGTGTAGACAAATTCCTTCTATATACACAATCAGCAGCAGCAATAATAATAATAATAAAGTCTGTCAGTAGGTTGTAATTTTTTTTCAGCGTCCGCATAACATTTAGTTTCCAGCTGCAGAGAATATAATTTCTAAGAAAAAGAAAAGATGAATATTTGTCTTGGAAGGAAACATAGGGTGCAGCCGAGGTGGGAAGCAGGTTTTGCCCCCCCCACCTTGCTGAAATTAAAAATGCAAACACCCCGATTTCTCCAGGGCCTTCCTGAACCCTCCTGGCTGCTCCCAACTTTATCTTCCCCTTTTCTTTCTTCTTTTAAACAGAAATCTAAGCCTGGCTTTTGGGGGGCATTTTAATGGTCCTGTAAAAGTATTTCCGAACCTTGTTATCTATATATATAAATGTGGATTTTGTACTGCTCTCTTTTTTTGAAAAAGGTCTTTTTTTAACCTGCTTTTGAAAAATATGCCTCTTTGTTTACTATCACTGTAGACAAAACTGCTGACAGAGCCGGGACGAGACAGAGAGAAACAATTAAAAACAAACAAACAAACAGAGAGAGAGAGAAATCATAGATTGTCTAAAAGCGCTCCTAAAAGCCCTCTGAAAAATTGTTGGATGGCGTCTTATGATAAAAACAGGATCCTCGCTCCGAAAGCCTGGGGTTCATCTGCATCAAAACAGACCCGGGACGTTTGGTCCTGCCCCCTGTTTTCTGCTCCTGTTAAAAGCTGGTGCGGAGAGCGGGCCGGGGGGGGCGCT